CAAATCACTCTACCTTGATGGACCAAGGTCACTTAAATCTCTCTTGGCTTAAGTTTCTTTATTTGTAAAATGAGAGGATTGAACCAGAAGGCCTCTGGAGTACTTTCCAATTCTAAATCTATAATCTTATGACAGTTAATATTCTCCTCACCTGAAATCAAGCTTTAGCCTCCTAATTTTAGGGAACACTGAGAGTCAATGGCCAGTATTTGAAGTAATGTTTGTTATAGAGTGATTAAAAAAAATTCTCAACTCCAAACTTTGAGAACATTTTTAAAAAATATCCTAATCAAAATGGAAGTCCTAAAAGAATAACTTGATCTGTCCACAGGATGGGAATTAGATCTGTGATTTCATTGGTGGAGGGAACTCCAAGGTGAGGGAGTTTTTCTGCACCTTCTAGTTTTAGAGATGTTTGGAGCACTGAGGGGGTCACGCAGCCAATGTCAGGGACAGGGCTTGAGCCAGATATTCCTGGTCCAGTGCTGGTTCTGTAACTACTAGGCCATGCTGCCTTTCATGACATAGCCTTAGAAAAAGCAGAATATGGTTAAAATAGAAGAAAAATAGATGATTTCATTGCTTCCAGGAGTATTCATTATTCTCATAAAAGCACACAAGAATATTTGTTATTTCCCTTCTGGTGCAAACATTTTGTCAAAAAATATAATTCCATTTTGTTGTTGTGCATACTTAATATACATTAATAAGCTCTTATTTTTTTCAAGTCCTCATGTTAAATTCATGGTAACAAAATGAATAGTATCCACTCAACTGAATAAGCATTAAATGAAAAAGAAAGTCAGAAGATAGTTTATGAGAAGAATGTATAGCTGTCCTGCAATACAAAAATCTATTAGCTCAGTCAAGTTTAAATATATGGCAAATATTCAGAATTTGACATACAGAAATTTATAGTTACTCATGATTAACACAAGTAATCCTAATAAACTTCATTGAATTGCATGTGCAATGTGGAAAATTATCAATTATCCACTCATTTTGTTTAATAAAAATAATTTTAAAAGATGTAATGAAAATAATGTACACATTTTCTTGCTTGCATTTTATATATAGCAAGTAAAATACATTCACCTTTGAATATTTACACAAACATTTAAATATATATTTTAAAAGGAAAATAGGACTTTAGAAATAAACACACACACATACATATATGTCTGTATATATATATAATATTGCTTGAAGGCTAACCATTTAAGATAACTTATTTCAACTCTGGTCTAAATATTTCACTTGGTCAAAGTTCTCCCCTACCCTCTCTTAACCTAGTTTCTCCAAATGTGCTAAACTACCAACATTGTATCACTTCTATTGTCTTTACAAAATATCTTACTTTATGACGTATACTTCTGGTTTTTTTCTGTTTCAAAGGAAGTCAGAAATTTTCACAACTATCATTTTAACTTAAAAATATACCTGTCATATGTTGTTAAATTGTGAATTTTCTTTTGTAAAACTAGTGTTGCTATATAGGACCTAAAAGAATCAGTTACTATATTGGACCAATTTGTCTTTTGAATAAATTAAAAAATTAACAATGCAATACAATGTATGTATATAATGTATGTATCAATATAATCAACATTGTTCACATGATTAAGAAACAGATATATCCACCCTGTTTTATACCCTTAGTCATACCTCATTAGAATGTTAATGTGAGAGTCTATGCATATATAAAACACATTTTTGTAATTTTTTGAGTACTCCTTTGGATTTCATAATTAAATCATGATTCCTTAAAGGCATAGGACTGACTTAAGTAGGAAATATCATCTGATATATTTAAATAAAGTACCCCTTTTGTGACTATCTTATCATTAACATTTTGGAGCTGTATTCAGAAAGCATGAAATCATGTATGTTTTTTGTTTGTTTTTTTGGAAATGTTTAGCTTATGCGAGGATTTCTATTAAGGCAAAAAACAGTCTGTAAGAGAGAACATGGACTACTAGGCTCAAGGCAGAGTATGTATGTCTATATATAGCACGTACACATGTAATTAAATTAAAGAGTGAAAGTTTCCTACTCTAAAGAAACATATTACAGAGCTAACTTTTTAATCTTTTATTCACCTATAAAGGATTGCTCCAAGATAAGAACCAACATTCACAGAGTCAATCTAGGCATTACATTAATAACAGTATTAAGAAAAAATATTTAACGTAGAAGTAAGAATAGAGGGTAAAGTTTTCTGCAAGGGAAGCTCTTATGTCTGGATCATAGAGGGATGGAGCAGCTTTGTAGAGTGGGCAGCAAAGAGATTACTGGTTTTCATTTATTAGAAGAGTGAAACATTTAAGAAGGTATGAGTAATGCTATAATTAAAATGTAATAGAACAAATTATAGAATGCCACAAAATTTTATTGTGCTCTTTATTGAGCTCTTGGTTATCAAAAACACATTATCCCAAAAAAAGCACAATATTCAAAGGTGGGAAGTCCTTTGAAAGCACACATATGTTAAAATGGATGTTATATCCTAACTTAAGCCATTTTAGTGAAAGGAGAAATATTTCAAAATACTTTTAGCTGTCTGAAATTTTAGATATTACAGCTTTATTTTAAAACCATCTGGTTTTTTTTTATTATTTCTACTAAGCTTAATTGTTTAAGCATTAGGACTTTTTTGTGATGAAAATAAACTTCTGTCAAAAATACATCAAAACCAACCCCCAAAGCACCCAAACTTCCAATGCTTACAAATACATATGCATTCCTCATTATGTATTTTTTCATTTATCTATTTTTAATATTAATAAAAACTATCACCAAACATGGTTGATTGTTGTCTTAAATAAAATACACAGCATGAATAGGAACAAAGTCCAAACCATTTATTTTGGTGCATTTCCTTTCCAAAGACCTTGCTCATTTATTTTAAGTAATTACTTTACAGACTGTTCTTCCAAAGTTGAAAATGTAAGTTTATATTTCACTTTATTACATGTGTATAGCAATTTCCTAGAAACAAGAAGAGCCTTTGGTTTCTGAAAATTAAGGAGAAATTAATTTTCTGTGAGTTCAAAGTTCAGACATTTTGGACACAAGTTTAAAACTTCTCATTTACCATTTCTTTTCTTACACTGGGGGTGAAGTCCATTATTTTCTCCACAGTTAGGATCATGATCTGCTCCCTTAGCTTTTATCCATCAACTTGCTGAGTAATGAAGTGAATGGAGTTAAAATGCTGTTGCCCATGGATCATAGCCAGCCTACTCCTCAAGGCAAGAGTTCGTTGCAGGGGTTTGTGGGGTCATTCTTCCCTCCCATCACAGATACTTAACCTTTGCTTGGTTGAAATTAAAAGCAACTCCTTTATTGCCAAGCAATATTAGTGTTTTTATTTCATAAATATCCATTTCATGTTTTTACTTCATAAATATCCATTTCATCCCAGCCCCACACACCAGATTCTTTCAAATAAATGTTCCCTAAAGATTAAAAATGTTGCCATTGAATATATGTCCTTGAACTTTCTTTTAACTGCAACTCTTTCTAATTAAGTCCTAGGGACTAACTTCTAAGGTAGCTCAGGAAAGATCCACATTTCTGAATGTTATAAAGACTTAAAAAAATGATAACAGGAGAGATGGAAACTTTCAATACCTGATAAGATATATCCACAAACATAACCACTCTTTGTAAATTAATAACTCAGATATACTATTTCCTTGGGTAGTCTGTATTCCAAAGAAAGTCCTGATATTTCTGCTGTGTACAACAGAGGCACTTTTTCTCCAAGGTAGGCTGAGGAAAAAACTCTTAAAACAAATCCAGGCACATTATAAATCACTTTTTTTTTTTGCTTTTTGGTGAGGCAATTGGGGTTAAGTGACTTGCCCAGAGTCATACAGCTAATAAGTGTTAACTGTTCGAGGCAAAATTTGAACTCATGTCCTCCTGACTCCAAGGCTGTATCTCTATCCACTGTGTCACCTAGCTGCCCCATAAACCACTTTCACAGTAATAGTGGCTAGCTAATAACAGCTAACATTTATATTATTTATTATATATAGCTTACTATGTGCCAGACACTGTGCTAAGCACTTTATAATTATTATCTCACTTGATACTCATAACCACCTTGGGAAGTAGGTGGTTATTACTGTCCCCATTTTACAGAGAGGAAACTGAGGCAAAGAGAGGTTAAAATGACTTGTCCAGAGTCATATATCTACAAAGTGTCTGAGGCCAGATATGAACTGAGGACTTCCTGATTCCAGGCACTCTATCCACTGAACCACCTTGCTGCCCTTGTAATCCTCCTTCTTCTCCTCCTCCTCCTCCTTATCACCATTCCACCGCTGCCAACATTACCACATTACAATGGAAGAGATGATTCTAGTAATGGAGAGGTTTTAATAATTTTATGTATTTTCTGAAGATCTGGGAGCTGCTCAATGGCTACATTACTGATTTAGAAATAATTCTAAAATTTATTTTCTTGTCTTGTTCTAAAGAGAGTGGAAAGGACATAAAAATTCCTATAACAATCACATTTTTAAAAAATCTAATTTAGATGAGATTAATTTAAAAATTATTCTGGTTTTCTTGCCAGTAACTGTTAAACACTGAAATGACCTTAATGCAGCTATTCTATAGAACAGAATTAAAACAACAACAATTTCTTTGGTATATCAGAAGCAAAACTAGTTTTACAAAAAATGCAGCATTCAATTAAAGTCTCTTTTGTCTCCTCCTCAGACAATTCTGAACAGTCTAGTTAAAAGCATAATGGCAAAAGTATTAAAGTCTACGGACTCTAACACTTCCATACTACATTACTTTTCAAAAGTAAATTTAATAAAGCATTTTTCCAAAGCAGAAATTTCCAAAATACAAAATAAAATGAAACATGTTTTTCATTAAGTAACCCTCCCCAAAGAGATTCAAAAATTAATGATAGCAATTCCAAGGGATGACTTGCTTTTTGTCATAAGGTTCAAGGAAAAAATTCCTCACTACATAGACTACTTTTTACTTCAGTGAAATTTCATAGACTACCTCTCAAAGCTAAGTCCATTTTTGTAATTTTAGTGAAAGATTAAGAAAAAAACACAACTTGTGACTAATCCCAAAAGAAGGCATGTTGGGAGGATAGGTTTTTTTGTTTTTTCCCCCAATTCTAATTGAAACCTTGTTTCCAAAATCTGTGAGTTTTCTTTATGTTAGATTTCCAGAGACTGGTTAACTTAGTTAAGTGTGTTAATATTTCCTTTCTGAGAGTCTGCGTCTCAGTACTGTAGTCAGATTGTATGATGAAACTCATAAGTTTTTGCATCAACCTTCCTGACTAAGAATAGTATAAAGAAAGTGTCACTATGTAATAAAGAGGTTTTGCACAGAGCTAGGAGCTCTATCCCACTTTCGTTCCAATTATTTCACCAAGACCAGTGGGGAGAACTTAGACAAAAAGTTATAGTTGACAAGTAGCATGTACGATTTAAAAGTTAAATGAAGACAACAACTTCAAGGAAAAAGCATGGAGTACATCCGGAATAGAAAACACATACAAAAAAAATGCTTCCTTTCTTTTGTTCTTTCTATATCCGATTCTTAACGTCTTTTAAAGCCTTAAAATAACTAATCAATACTGAATCTAAATCAGCTCAAAGTTTTATTTCTAGACAAGGGAGAAAGAAAGCTTACAATTTACAAACCAAATGCTGAGATAAGCCATTCAGTCTTTAATTAGAGGCTAATCTGACCTGTTATATTTTTAAAAATCTGTTCTTATCAGGATCCAGTGAATTTTCCACATTTCAAAGTTAGACTTAGAAGTATCTTCGAAGGTCTCAATCCTCACTTAGAATACAGGATGTCCCAAAAATCTCAGGCAATTTTGACTTTAATAGATTAAAACTTCACTAAGTCTTTTGGAACACCCTGCATAACACACAGATGTATGTTGTTGTAGTTATGCCACTATCAGGCACTCTATCCTCTTGGTGTCCCTATGTCAGCTGTGTGTCAACACCACCAAACACCTACTTGATTTCATTCTTCAGAAATCTTGAGTCTGAGCTTAAAAAGTCACTTGACTCTTGAATTTGTAGTAAATTTCAATACATGAAATTTGTACTCTCACTCTCCAAATAAATTCACCATGAATTAGTGATTTTCTACTACATCTTCCATCTCTTTTCACACATTAAATTTCTTTAGCTGCTTAAGTATAACAAATGACAATGAAATAAATAATAAGCACCACCTCTGAAAAATGTTTACTCTCTCTTTTTTTTTTTGCTTAACAAAGAAATAAAAACATATACCAAGTGTTAACAATGTCCTCTTTGCAAAATATCTCTCCCTGGCTGAGGAGAAAGGATATTACCATTCCCCCTCCCCCCCCCATAACTGAGCAATGACTTAAGCCTAGAGGACTGTTGCTTTTCTTCTTTTTAAAGGGAACAGTGGTGAGGTCTTTATTATTGTGAAAATATCTAAATTCTCCCCGTACTATTTCCAAATAAGAGCTACATGTGTCAATAAACACCAATTTAAATCTGAGAAGAGAAAGGCTGGTGACTCTTCTCGAAAGAAGGCAGAAATAAATGGTAAACAAAAAAAGTGACAAAAAGGCATGAGAAAAGTAACTAAAGAAAGAAAACACCTCTAGCACCCACAATCGTAAACAGATCTTCATGATTTATGGGCTTAGGAAAGACCTAAGAAATCAAACAGGAATGTATTTGCAGGTGGCTGTGCACTTTTGCTGTAAACTAATTTCAACTAGATGGGGCACACTGTATCATTGTGATCCTGACAGTTGAGTGCCGTTTCACTGGCTCCTATGACTATTGCTTTTTGGGGATGATGAGGTTTCTCAGCATGTCGAAAGAATTGCCATCTGGATGCACAGTCACAATATCTCCGCCTTCTTGATGAACTTGAAGGAAGCCATAATCATCGATGCCAACAATCCATACCATTGGCCCCTCATCGCTTCCCAGACGGACTTGCTGACCACTGTAGATCAAGAGTAGTAGAGCTCATTACTTGAGAATGATAACATAATATTTTAAGAGAACTAGTTAAGACATACAAATGCATAAATCTTCACAACCTACGCAAAACAAAACTATGTTACAGTTATTTTGGAGGGGCTTAAGAGCTGAAACTCACCAGACTCTGTGTGAGATTTGAATTATTTTTATAACTAGTAAAATAAAAAGACCAATAAAAAATGCAAGACAAGAGGCATGAATCTCTTCTCCTAAAGGTGATGTTCCTCTTCAAGTTTTTATATATTACATGATAATGATTTTTGATAATCTATCCTTTGTTTCCTACACAATTAAAACCCTATTTAAAGAACTAAAAATGTTTTTTTCAATTCCAGTTTTGTCCTGTTCTAAAAATAAAATAGATCAGGGCAAATGGGAAAATATGGAGGATTGAAAAAAGTTTAAGTTTGAAAAAATTTGGAAAAAAATTTTCTAAGAACTTATTTAGAAAAGAAGTTCTCAGTATGGAAGCAGTTATGTGAGGGGGGAAACCTACAAGTTAAACTGATTCTTATACTATTTCTGATTAATATTATTATGTTTAAAAAAACAGAGATTTTATAAGATTACATTCTGGCTATTGTTTGAAAAATAGGGTTTTAAATATCCAGGTGAATGCTTATGAGGCTCATCAAAATTACCCTTTTATGAACTACTTCTCTGACAATGGAGCTAAGAAAGGAAGCCTAAAGAAGAAATACCACCAACCTGTGCACCCAGTATTTATAATACAGAGGAAGAATTGCATTAGGTCCTTTATCCTGAAATGCGTCTATCAGTCTCTCCAACACAGTTATTGTTCTTGCAATAAGATAATCCACACGGAACAGACTTAGATTTTTATTGTGTTTCTTATTATATTCTATGATGAGATCATTGATGCAGATAGTAGGGTTGCTGTTATTCACATTAAATCCACAGCCTGAAACAACAACAAATAACAAATCAAAAGAAAGATACAAACAGCTCCTCTAATTCTCAGGAAATCACTATTGGAAAACAAATGGTTTTACATTGAAATCAGTTGGAATGATGATTTCTTTCCTCCCCCAAATTAAATTTCTAAGCATTACATTATCTTTCTTACAATTCCTGCGTCTTTCCCCTTTGCCTCAGCCTGCACAGCATTTTTTTCATTCTGATCATCTGGAGAAGGACTTTCTGATGCCATCTTCCTTTTCACATCTTTTTTTTCTCCTTGATAACTGTCAGTTTGACCTATCCTAATAATTCCTACTCATATTCACTGTTACTATACACAAAAGTCTTGTTGGAAAATGATACTTTGAGGCAAAAAAGCTGAAATGGATTCATCTTGAAACTGAAGCTCCTCATGATGGAGCAGGTAAACAAGTTTCTCAGCATTACTTCTGACTGCAATTGAGGTGTTGAAACCAAGAGCTCTAGACCAGGCCAAATCGGACAGAAAACAAGATCCTCAGTTAGTCCTTCTATGTCACCAGACCACATATCTGGAAGTGGAGACTTTTGCCAGAAAAGTAATTTCTGGCTCTCCTGAAAAACCCAAGGGATTCAAACCTTGGTCATGACAGGATTTCTTTTCATTTCACTGTAACATCCTTTGGAAGTCTCCCATATCTCCAGATCCCTGGCTATGAATGACAATGATAATGTCCTATATGTCAGCCTTCTACAAAACTCTGTTCTGATCTTCCTTTACCCCATCATTTGTTAGTGTTCTCACCTTCCTTAAATCAGTTTACATTTACTTACCTTTGTGTATGTTTTATCCCTCAATAAAAGGTAAGCTTCTTGAGGGCAAAGAATGTTTTGATCTGGTATTTTCTCCCATGTGCCTAGCACAGGACACAATGGGTACTTGATTAGTGTACCATATGGTGCCAACCACAGATCACATTGACTTTTATCTCATGACTTTACAAACGTTTTTTCTTCACTGATTAGGAATAAAATCCTGTTTGCTTCACCCCATGCTGGCCAATTTGAGAATCAAAGACTGAGAAGAAAATGGATTTTTCCATATGCTGTAATAAGTTCTAGGCTAGTTCAAGATGAAATAAGACATTCTCAGTTTACCTCAACTTATTTACCTACTGAGCCCAAATTTCACAGCAAGAACACAAGTATTATTTCATTATCATCCAGAACACAAGTACTATTTGTGGTGCTGTTCTAAAGGAAAGTGTATCCAACACATTTAATTCATATTTAGTCCATGTTGGAGCTCAGCTATTATTAAAAGATCAGTAAATAATGGGAACATCTTCTAACAATTACATAGTATACTTATTAAGTTTAAATATAGTCTGCTGCAAATTTACCTAAATAAAATGGAATACATAAATAGTCCTGGCTCTGCCATTTATTATGTGACCTTGGATAAGTCCCTTAACTATTCAGGACCACAGTTTCCTTATCTACAAGAGGAGAGGGTTAGATTAGATAATTTCTAAATCCCTTTCTAGCTCCAAAAACTCTATCTACCAAAGATAATATCAACTGACTGGCTACAGGGAGAGTGAGGCAAAGAACAAAGTATGACTTTGAAGCTGCTGAACCTACCTACGTTGTAGGTAAGGACGAATGTCTTTAACAAAATTAGGGCAGTTTGCAAGAGGTCAAGAAGTGAGTAGGAGATGAGGAAGTGGAGGCAATGAGTGCAAATGACTTCTCGGCTATGAAAGTAAGTTTGGCTATGAAAAGAGGAAGCAAGGGAAAACAATCTGAGGAGATGGCAGGGTCAAGTGAAGATTTTTTTTTTTAAGGATGGGGAGACCTGGGCATGCTTGTAGGCAGTAAGGAAGGAGCCAGTGGATAAGGAGATATTGAAGATGACAGAGCTAGAAAAGGGATGGGATCAAAGACACAAAACAAGAAAAGAGATTCCAGAGCACAAAGGAAGAGGTAGGCAGAGGAAGATGGAAATGGAGGGGAGGTATGGCTGAGATGGACAGAAGGGAGAGAGCAGGCAGAGGTAGGAAGCAGATGCAGACTCTGAACTGTAAGGTCTTGAGAGAATGAGATAGGAATCTATTGGTTGGTTGCTGTCTTTTATTCTCGAAGAGGACTGGAATGATATCACTATGTTGGGGTCAAGGTACAGTGCGTCCGACTGTGACAGATCAGACCAATACAAGCAGTGGCTCTACCACAGGTGGGACACAATTAGTCCACAAGAACATTTGTAGTGGAGATGTCTCTAAATTTGTGCATCTCACAGTTTTGAGCCACTGCAATTCTGCTTTGCTCCCAGAGCACAGTGCCTTTGATGTGGGCAGTCCCTGTCTCAGAATTGATACCAAAGTTCTTCAGAGAGACTTTTAGGGTCCTTGTGTTGCTTCTTCTGACCTCCATGTGAGTGTTCTCCATAAGAGTCTCTGGCAAACAGATGTGTAGCATTCAAACTAGTCATGGAATGGCAGAAATACGAATTGACTGTGATCCTCTAGGACAATGGTTTCCATATTTTCTGATAAAAATTTTTTTCCTGTTAGGTGCTCTGATCAGGGTTAGATTGTAACTGTCCTGAAGGACCAATGATTGGCTCAAAAGGTTTGGAGTTTGCACAACAGTGGAGAAGAAATGAAGTGTGGCAGAGTTTTAAGCTTCAGTGGGTGAAGGGTAGATATTACTGTTTTGTAGGCAAGCCCTGTGAGTGGCTATTTTGGGAAGGATGGGAAGTAATTTATTTTCCCACCTTTGACTGATCACATTCATGGCCCCTCAGGTCACCCTGCCTCCTACTTAGGAGATCACTGCTCCAGGGCCACAGATGGCCACTACAGTCCCTTTTAACTCTGAAATAACATGATTTTGTGGTATTATGATGGATGACTGCCTCAGACAATATTTTCTCAAACAGTAGGTATTAAACCAGCAAGGAAATCAGGTTAGGAATCTGAAATGATAAACATCTAGTGATGAGGTCTCCAAGAAGCTGACTGAACTCATATTTGGCATCACTTTTTTTTGGCACATCTCAAGATGATAGGTTATGATACACTCAGAAAATACTCTAGTTGGCTCCTATTTCAGTCTGTGGTCTGAGGCCCTGGTCTTGGAAAGGGCCCTTGCAATAAGGGACCAGAAAACTGGGCATTCAAATATTATGAAGGGTTGAAACACTGAAGTACAGCATGGAAGTTATTTGCCTCCATACTGAGCAGTAAGTCCAGAGGAGGCCTCTGAATCCAGTCACCAAGAGGGGCTAGGGCTAGACCTCTACTTTCTCATGTCCATTTGTGGAAAAAGTAAGAAGAAGGTAGGGGGCAGGACTTTGGTGACAGAGGCAAAGAGTCTTCTTTGGGGGAGGAGGACTTCAAACCGGACTCCAAGATGGGCTAGGGCTAGGACGCCCACAAATATCTTCGTGTAACAGGAATTTTGCTCCTGATCCTAGTGCTCAAATTTACTAATCTGGTAAATTTCAAAGGACTAGATAAATTATTTAGGAACTCCAAACTTCTTAAGTAATTTCCTAACTGACCCAGTCTCTTCTTATATCAGTATCTTGTTCTGTGAGCATGGAGATAAAAGAAAATAAAAACTAGAGACTAAATGGGATGATAAATTGAAAGTGGCCAATGCATAATCTATTTTTACTTTCTACTTGAAGATAACTGTATTATCTTCAAAACTGCTGGCAAAACAATGTAAAAACTTACCAATAAGTATATAAAAAGTTGTTCCCATAAGCGTTGAGTTGACCAAAACTCCACCAAGCTTCATTTGATCACTGTAGTAGATATCATTGGGCCACTTTACTCGTAAGTTGATATCCTATAGATACATTAATCATAGGCTCATTTGGTTTGAACGGACCTTAGGACATCAACTAGATAAAAAGCACACTTGGGTGAATCATCTCGAAACTCATATACTCTGGGACCTACTGTTCCCTCCTTCTCATAATTCAACATTAGGCTAAATATATCTCATGGGACAACAGAGATGCAGACTTAGAAAAGTTATTTAGAACCAACCTCAGTGTCTTCTTCCCTTGTCAAAATTCATTAGGACTAAAAACAAAAACATCAAAATATCCTTAAGAAAAGAAAACCAAAAATGAAAAAAAAAAACCTGAGACTACCCATTGTGTTAGAGGCACCATTTAAAATATTAAAATACTCATGAATTTGGATATTCCTTCCAATGATGAAGATCACTGCCTATCCTATTTTACTCTTGTCCAATGCATTTGGTAAAGGAGATGCATCCAACATACTACAGGCCTTCTTCATTTACTCATATCTTACAAGTACTGATGGAACATTTAGCTTACTCTATCATTCCTCTCCCTCACCATACGATCAGCCCATTTCCTTTTTCTATCATACATTTCCTTTACTCCTGTTCTCCAAAGTTCCTTATTTACTATGTTACATCCAGCATATACTTATCACGTGCTTCCTCACTCTACTGTATAATATTAATTTTAAATTCTTTGGAGACTATTGTGTTCCATGTTTTGCAGTCAAGTAATAACATAGGTAGATTGTTGGTATTAAAAGAAAGATCTTTGTTTCTGGAGAAATTTGGGGTCATTAAAGGAACTTTGCAATTTCCTGAAGGCAAGCCAGCCTGCTCTTCTCTGTGCCTTTGCTAAAGTTGTTTTTCCCTAATATCTAAAGCCTTTTGTCTCTCTCCTGTGCTTCTCCTGAACTATACTTTCTCATATATTTCAGCCCATTCTCATTTGTTCCTACCTTTGCATTAAAGTATCAGAGTGTATGTCGATTTGATTTGGAAGTTCTTATTTGGAAAAAATAAACACCATGAAAATAATCACAGTTTATGCTTTAACAGAAGTTGCTGAGGACAAAGTAGTACAGAAGTTCTGTGAATATCTGGCTAAGACCCTAAAATCATACCACATACACTCTGATTCTACAGCATAAAAAAATTAATAAAATAAGATTTTGTAGGCATCAAAGACAAAAAAATTCACATTCTATGGGGTCAAACTCATTTCCAGTTTTTCCAGGTGTTCTTGTTAAAAAGAGAAATAATAAATAAAACAGATTTTTGTAAGCATCAAAGACAAAAAAATTCACATCAATCAGAATAAATGAAAGGAAAAATTAGAGTATAATATCATGAAAAGAAGATCAAATGGCACTCAGAGATTGGCTTTCTTTCAATGACTGTTTCATTTATGTTGTTGTAACTATTATGTAAATTTTTCTTTGATTTTGTTTTGTTTCTTTTCATTGTTCATTAGGCCATACAAATCTTCCCCAATTTCTCTGAGTTCTTATTACTTATAAATGCTTACTATAAAATGATATCCTATTTGATATATTTTGATATAATGATATGTGTGATCAAATATCATAATTTTATTATCCATTTCCCAATCAAGGATCACCTACTTTGTTTCTAACTTTTTGCTCCCCAAAAAATTCTTTTAAGAATCTTTTGGTATCTATATTGAACCTCTGTTTCTGTCTTTGACCTACTTGAAATAATTACCTAGAAGTGGAATTATTGATTCAAGAGGTATAGACAGTTTAGTCACATAACTCCACACATAATTCCAAAATAATAGGTAGAATAACTGAACAAATTCACAACTCTACCAATGTACCTGTCTTTATAAAATCCCTCTACCACTGACTATTAGCATCTTCCGTCAAATAATATTATCCGATTTATACTCAGAGTTGTTATAATTTATATTTCTGTTACTATTAGTAATTTGGAGCACGTTTTCAAATGTTGGTATGTAGCTTAAAACTCTTCTTTTTGAAAAATATCCTTTGATCACTTATCTAGTTGGAAATTGGCTTTTGGTGTTATAAATTTAAGTCAATTTCATATAAATCATGGATATCAGCATTATGTTGGTGATATTTGATGCAAATATTTTTCCATTATGCAGTTTCTCTTTTACTTCTATCCTCATTAATTTTATTTATGTAAAAGTTTTTAATTTACTTAATTAAAATGATCTATTCTTTCTTTACTCTTTATTCTATCCCTTATTTGGTTAGTTTTTAATTTTTTTAATTAAAATTATCTATTCTGTCCTTATTTATTCTATCATGTGTTTGGTTAAGAATTCTCCTCTCTAACAGGTACTTACTCTTCATGCTTTTTAATTTTCTTATGATGTGTTCTTTTATATTTGAATAGTGGATCCATTTTGAGTTTATTTTTCTGCAAAGAGTAAAGTGTTATTTATAAACCTAATTTCTGCCAAACTGGTTTTCAGTTTTTCCAGGAGTTCCTGTCAAAAAGAGAGCTCCCCAAATAGTTCTTGAAGTTATTGACTCTAGGGGCAGCTAGGTGGCGCAGTGGATACAGCACCGGCCCTAGATTCAGGAGGACCTGAGTTCAAAATCCGGCCTCAGACACATAACACTTATTAGCTGTGTGACCCTAGGCAAGTCACTTAACCCCACTGCCTAGCCAAAAAAAAAAATTTTTTTTAAATTAATGACTCTGATTTTTTATGTTTATCACTTTTCTAATATATTTCACTGATCTATTTTTAAAAAATTAACAGTTTTGATGACTACTGTTTTGTAATATAGTTTGAAGTCTGATAATTCACATTTTTTCATTATTTCCCTTGAGATTCTAGAACTTTTGCTCTTCCAAATGAATTTTTGTTACTGTTTTAGTTAATTTTTATAAAGTAAACCATTGGTGGTTTATATGGCACTGAAACAACAAATTAATTTTGATGTTATCATTTTTATTATATTGCCCTAGACCAACTATAACCAGTAATTATTTCTCCACTTATGCATGTTTTTATTTCTGTTGTGTTTTGTAGCTATAAACATAGGGTGTGTATTGGTAGATTAACCATAAAATTTTATGCATTATATAGTTATTTTGAATGGAATTTTTTTTTGTCATCACTTCTTCCTAGTTTGGTAGTACTGATTAGAAATTCTGAAAGGTTTTGTGGGTTTATTTTATATCCAGCTACTTTACTGAACCTATTAATTTTCTCAATGAGTTTCTTTGTCCATACTATGGGATTTTCTGACGTCACACCATTTGCAAATAGATGTCTCCTCCTGGCTGATGTTTACACCTTCAACTTTGTTTTCTTGTCTTATCTGTCTAACACTTTGTCAAACAGTGAGAATATTGGCTAGCTCTGGACTGTACTGGAAAAGCTATTAGTGTTTCTCCATTGCAAATAATGCTAGCTTTTGGTTTTAGATTTATGCTTTTAATCATGTTAAAGACTCTCACATGCCAATGTATTTTGGTTTTTTTAACATAAATAAGTTCTGAGTTTTGAGAAAAGGGCTTTTTTGCCTCTATTGAAATAATCATGTGATTTTTATTTTTTCTTGTTGATATGATTAAGGCAGAGTGTCCCAACAGATACAGAGGCAGTCTAGAAGTTAGGAAGACCTACTTTTTTTTTTTTTTTGGCTAGGCAATGGGGTTAAGTGACTTACCCAGGGTCACACAGCTAATAAGTGTTATGTGTCTGAGGCCGGATTTTGAACTCAGGTCCTCCTGACTCCAAGGCCAGAGCTCTATCCACCGCGCCACCTAGCTGCCCCCAAGATCTACTTTCAAACCTTGCCTTTGAAATATTCTGGCTGTATGACATTGGGTAAATCACCCTAACCTTTTGGTTCTCCAAGTAACTTTCTTAAGATAATTATGTTGCAGAATACTGGAAGACTTCCATTCATAGAGAAAATTTCCCTACTTCTTTATACTAAATGAAATCACAGGTATGGATAAAAAATACAATATGCTGATTGTTTTCCTTATATTTATCAATGTTCTAGTATTTTAAAAAAACAAAACTTGGTTTTTGTCAGTTCTACAAATGTTCCTCCTCCCCTCATTTCTCTATCTCTCCTTAAATTTTCAAGGATTGTACATCTGTACATTCTAGGGTTGTTAAATAACATATAAGTTTAAAATATATTTTAAAATATAAATTTAATTTATAGTTTTTAAAGCTGTATGCTCAGTTAATTGATCTTCTCTTTCTCAGTTTTAACTTAAATTTTCAGAGATATACATTTCTTCTGAACTGCTTTAACAGCAGCCTCTAAGTTTTGGTATGGTGTCTTTTTGTTAAAGTTAACTTTAATGTAATTACTGGTTCTAGGATTTGCTCTTTGAACAATTATTTAGGATGTCATTGCTTAGGCTCCATTTAGGTCTACATATTTTGCTCATGCTCCCTCTACTAATTATTATTTTTATTGAGTCATAATCTGCAAAAACTATGTTTATTATTTTTGCTTTTAATAAAGTTTATGTCTTAGAAAATGATCAAGTTCTGTAAAGATACTACAGAATGATGAAATATATTTGTACTCTTTAATAGTCACATACATAAACACACATGTACATATGACACATAAAAATATGGAGTTCACTGTCTATGGTACCTTTAAGTATAATATGCTTTTCTTGTTTTTCTCTCTTGGCATTATCAATTTTTGTTGTCACCTTACCTGAATCCATATGATTAGAATTCATGCATTTTAGAAGCACCTAAAACATGATGGATTTGGTTCTACCCAATCATTTTCACTGTTTGTTTTAAATTATTATATAAAATGTCACATATATACATTGTAAATTGTTTTTTAATTAATTTAAAGATATCTTCACAATTGCTTTTAGTTTATTGGAAAATTCATCCATTCACATTTAAGGTTATAATTGCTAAATTTGTATTTTCTTCCATTAAATATATATACATATATGTGCGTGTATGTATGTATGTATGTATGTATGTATGTATGTATATGTATGTATACATGTGTTTTTCTCTCTCTCCCTCCCTTGCTCCTTCCCCTGGTCCTGAGTCAACACTCACCTAAGACAGCTAAGAAACACAAGGACACACTACCACTGATGGCACCATTCCCTTCTCCCTCAGCTGTGGGTCACCCAAAAACCTATCATAAAAGGCTGGTCAGCAGAAAGGCCCACCACCATTTGGGCAACAAAGAATTCCCTGGCAGCTGGGCAGAACAGGCACTAAATTGCCACTAGAGGCAGGGCTCTGGGGGAATGTAGGGACTTTCTGGAGTGTCCAGCAAACACTTCTGGCACATCTTTGAGAACTACTCTCTTTCAGCTTATACAAACTGTTTTCCCATTTTTTGAATTGTTCCTTTTCGAGAACATTACAGTCATTTCCCCATATATACTCTATTGAACTTTCCCTTGTAACAAAGCTAAATGACTAACGAAAGAGACTGACAAAGTACCTCAGGCCTCTAGTGTCTGCAACATTCCATACCTCTCCTCTCCCAAAAGGAGAGATGTTTTTTGTTTTATGGAACCAAAATTTTTCATTGCAATGCGTTTGTGTTTAGTTGCCTTTTAGTGTTAGTCACTCTTTATTGCTTTTTTTGGCTTGGCTTTCTCCATTCTGTATCACTTCATGCAAATTTTCCCAAGTTTCTCTGAATTCTTGAACTAAATGACCTATAACATCTCTTCCAGCTCTAAACCTATGAATCTGTGATCCTGCGTCAAACTGTCCTAAATTTTAGATTTTACTTTTGCCAAATATAAACCCACAGGATACAATGGACACATTAATTAAGCTCATCTATAAAAATCTTTGTAGTAATATGCATTTCAAAGTTTTTCAAGTCACAAAGTTAAAGCAAGGTCAATTAAAAGAAAAAAAAACCCCAACAACCAATATCCATTTCTGAGTACAATATTTTATTTCTTTTCTCAAGTGCTAAACTCATTACTTTGTTCTATTCCTACTAGTATTAAAATATTTACTCTCGCTATAAGATTTTATAGTCTCAGTTTTCAAAGTGAAAATTTACAGTCCAAGTTCTAAGCCTGGATGTTAAAGGCATGTAACTGAACACTTACACTCCAGCAGCGCTACTGGCTGCTACAATAAATTTCATGTGTAAATGTGTATGTCATTGATTTGATATAATATAGGAAACATATGTCTGAGTTAACTACTTCTGTAAAATGGCAAAGTTTTACAAGTAGCAAATATTAGGAAATAGTAACACTAAAAGGGAGTTATAAGAAGATGAAGATGATTGATTCTTCATTTGAACACTGACTTTCTCAAGAGACATACTCTTAATTGCTTGCCTCAGAAATGACACAAGGGCATTTCAACCAAAAAATAAATGGTAGGAAAAAAATCTTTTTTTGAATGAAATGAAATGAAATTCTCCCAGTAAGATTTGGGGAGCAAGAGGGAAAAGAAGGTTTGTGGAACCAAGGGAAACTGGGAAGAAAGGAGGCAATGTATTATTCATTTTCTTGTGTTACTCATTTTCTTAGTAATATAATTGGAAACAATGCAACTGACAAAGACAATGTAGCAGGCAAATCCATCTTTACAGCCCGTAAAAATGGTCACAAGTGAGCCTGGTTGCTTAAATCTCAGTAAGATATATGAAGGATATCTTTCTAATGAATAGACTACAGTGAATAAAAGGTAGAGAATGAGAAATCCTTTCTTTAAGTCTACAAAACAAGCTTATTTGCCAGGAAAAAAAAATCAAATAGCTTCCACCCAGCCCACTGCTTAAATGAAAGATGCTTTTCCATGCTTGGGAAGTCTGTGAAATCTGGCTCTGCAAAGGCAGAACAGAGAAGGAATTCCAGAGAGGAGAGGAATCCTGTAAAGCCTGAGACAGCAGTAAGGCCAATAATATCAACAATTTACCAAGCTCCATCTCCTCTGGGCTCTGTATAGATCAAATTTAGGGTATGTTGATCAAGTCTGAAAATTTATGCTAAAAAAAAACCCTGAAAAGTCCATAAAAATGGTCATACAAAAGTGATGTAGAACATGTACCTGATACTCAGGAATCGACCGGACTGCCTCCACTACTGCCAGAGACATCAAGTGTTGAACATATGGAATTCTCTGCCCCAGATGAGAATGTAGGGGGATGCGTATGTGTAAGGTAGAAAGAGAACATCCCATAGGACTAAGCCAGACATTGCCACCACGACCTGGGGAACAAAGAACCATTAGGAAATGTTTTGTTTTGATATACATACTACACGTTTCCTAACACACATGTTTACATTTGTGTGCATCATACATGTACTACAGTATTTTAGTGGTCTGTGGTCTCATCAGTGTGGGTACACCTTATGCTAATACAGATGGCTCTTCTTGCATATCTCCTCATCCTTTGCAATTCTTATCTTTGTCTTTCTTTAAAGCTGAGGAATTTTATCTGCAGACTGAAGAAATATTCAGCCATAGGAAAGCACAAATACTTAGGGAAAAAGATCTTCTGGTTAGTTGGAACTGTCACTTCCATACTATGATGAGACATCAGAGTAAGAAATCAAAGGAAGACTAAATTATGTGCTTGCTAAAGGCAGAACATAATAGTAACATTTTTAGAAAGATTTTTCAATAATAGCAATTGAAACAAAAATTTTCACTTAATCTTGAGTTTTGTACACATGTGCCTCATTACCACTACTCCCCTCCTGAGCCCTGAATGTATTTGTGGGAGAATATGCTTCTGATGTTGGGGGAAACACTTTGTAATTACCATTTTTGCTATACCATTTGAGCTAACGATTTTGACAAAGTAATAAGTCTACTGGCTGATTGTTAAAGGAAAGCACACTGCTGAGGGCTTATAAGCTAGTGTTTAGCAAGATAGCCATCCACGAGGTTACTCCTAGAACCCTGGAAGAAGCATTATCCACTCCTCTGGGGATGCATCTGTCAGTAACAGTGTGAGTTGAGTTAGTGAGCCCACAGTGAAGGTTTTATACTTCTATACGTACATGTTGTCTCCTCTATTAAAATGTAAGTTCTATAAGGACAGGGACTCTTTTGTTTTTTCTCTTTAGCCACTTAGTGCACTGCCTGGCTCATCACAGGTGTGTAATAAATGCTTGTTGATTGATGATTTTTTTTATAACATTTCCTGTAAAGTGCCAGATGCTCTCCAAAAAGACTCCAGAAGTTTGCAATTCCAACAACAATGAATGAGAATACCTGTTTCTCCACAGTGCCTCTAGCACTGAGTTTTACTGCTTTCAATTGTATGAGGTAGTACATCTCTAGGTTGTTGTAATTTGCATTTCTCTGATTAGTGAATTTCAATTTTTCTAAGTATTTATTAACAATTGCATTTTAATAATTGCCTATTCATATCCTGTGACTATTTAGCCAATGTAAACCTTTATAAATTTTAAAAAGTTCCTCATGTAATTCAGACTTCAGTTTAAAAACTACTTATATGCCAAAAAGGTTTTTTAAACCAACCTTTTCCTTTTGATTATATTGTTACAAGCATTTAAAAAATTTTAATGTGATTAAGCACATCTGTTTTATATCTAATAATTCCTTCTATGTGTTGAATAATGGGTGAAAGTTATTTCTCTTCCACAATTGAGACAAGTACACTATTCCATTTTTTGCATTCTTTAGGTAGTTATTTTTCATAAGTATGTCCATCAACAACTGGAACTTACTGAGGCATATGGTGTGGGATGTACACCAAAATCTATCTCCCTTCAAGCGGTTAGACAGTTCTGCCAAGTATGTTTGTCAAAAACTGAAGAAAGGATTCCTTATTATTTTCCATAAATTTGTCAAACATTAATCTTTTTTATATTTGGCTGGGTGTCTGCACTCTCTTCTGTTTGTCTACTTATTTTTTATCTGTTGTGAGTTTTGATGATGACCAGTTTGGGTTCTATTTTAAAGGCTGCATTTCTTTTGTAATGGAAGAAATAAACAGCTGTCATAATCTAATATTTGCTAGTTTATACAATGGGTAATTTTTCCAAGAGACTTTATTAATCACTTTTGGGAAGACTCTACTAGACATCCATTCAAAACTAAGCTCTGCTTAAGGAGGTTTTCCTGGAATAATTCCAAGTAGGGATGGAAAGAGTGAGTGTAAGGAAAAACCTGATTCATTTATTTTGCTACTAATACCAAAATACTTCCTTAAGATTGAACCTGGTCCACTGGAGCCCAAAGCGAGGTCCCTTCGTGGGTAGAGGGGCCCACTGGGGCTGCAGGTGACATCTTGCTACAAGAAGGTCCTCCCATTGGGCAACCAGCAGCCAAACATGCTAATTACTCTGGTCCCTTGAGTTCATGAGATAGCCACTAAGGATAGAAACATTAATTTCTCAAAATGAAAGCAACATAAAGCAGAAGAGGCAGTTGACTTGAGATTCAGTCTCAGGCTGTCCTAGACAAATAAATGCAATGGTTGCCATGTGTATATATTCACCAAAAAGTTTCTGGGAGTGCAAGGGAGAGTTACTGGAGTTCCAAGGCACATACTCTAAGGAAGGGAGGAAGATGGATGTTTAGCTTTCTCCTTTTAGAGACTACAAGTAGCTCTTTCTTGATTAGTCACAATTCTCAGTCATGGGGATTTTGCAGGAGTTCCTGGTCACAAATATATTTAGCAAGGGAAATTTGATACAATGATTTTTTTTCCCCATCTTACCACCCATCTTCTAATCCTAGTTGTATTAATTTTATTTGTGCCTACGCTTTTCAGTTTGATATAATAAAAAAAATGGCCTCTATCCCTTGTCGGAATTAAGAATACATATTCTACCCATAGCTATGGAGATATATCATCTGTTTCTAATTATTTTTGTAGTACAATCTTCCACCCAGCCCCCATTTGCCTCATGATCTCCTCCCTGGGTCCATGCTCTCCTACTTCCCCGGGTGCCAGATGTCCTCATCAGTTCCTACTTTGTTCCTCCTGAGGTAGGGCAAGTAGACTTTTCAAGCATCAAATCCCCCAGGTCACACCCAGAGTAAAGTCCCCATATCCCCTCACAGACTTCTCTTTACCTATGGAGTAATGAAACATTCATCAGCAGAACCCCCTCCCACCACCAAAGAAAGGCCTCCTTCCTCCTCATCCCACTTTTCAATCCTTCTCTCCTGCTCACCCACAACGCAGAAAATAATTGAAGAGAAGTGCCCAGAACTTTTCAACATAGAAAAATTAAATACCAGTCAAAAGAATTCAGAGATCACCCTCCTGGGGGTGGGTTGAGGGGGAGACCCAAGACTGCAAACTCCAAGACATACAGTGCTTAAATTTAACAATTTAATTGAGAAAGAGATTCTGCAAGTAATCAGGAGAAAGACCTTAAAATACTGTTGTGTTCTTCTGGGAGAACTTTAACCGCAGTCGTCTCTCTGCATCCTGTCTGAGAGATGAATGTTTTCCTTGCATAGTGAGTTTATTCTCTTTTAAGGGTTTTTTGTTTTGTTTTTTGCTTTTCTTCTAGATTGTCCTTCACTTTTGTATATCTGCATTCCCAATCCATTGTTCTTTCTTTTGTTTCTCTGATTAAAGATTCTAATTTTTCTATTCTGTTCATTATATTTGGTATGCAGGCCACAAACTTAGCTTTCATAATTCTCATTTCTCTTTTGAACACTCAGGAACAGCATTTTATGGTTCCACATTCTCATATTCTACAGAGTCCTCTGTCTCCTCAAGTGTTGGATCATTTTCCTTTATTTTGCAGTATTTTTTTCATAGAGGCATGAACTTGTTTTATTAGATCAGGAGGCCAGTTGTTAATTTTTTTCTGTTGATTTACATATTTATATTCAAGATCTTTGAGTTTTCTTCTTTCTGAGATCTTTGGTAATTTCAGTCTTCCCCTCCTCACCTCACCTTCCTTTATTTCCTCTATTAACTTCCTGACTCTTCTCTTTGATGATGCTTTCCTTGAGGGCTGGACCTCAAAGCATCTCAGCCTCCTCCCACACTGCATAACTCATGGTTCAACAACTTAGGTCTCTGCCCTAAGACTTTTGGGAAGTCAGAATTGGCCAGAGGTGGATACTGGGCTCTATCGCTTGGGCTTAGAGGAGTGCTACATAGCACCACCCTCTGGAGACACACACACACACACACACACACACAGAGTATCGTCTTGGCATCCTTTCCAGCTCCCTCCTGACAGTTCAGAGAGATGCCATTCAAAGCTTGCTTGCTGCTATGGAGTTGTGGTTCCTGAAGTGCTACTGCCTGCTGTGCTATCTATCTCTGCTTAAGTAAACTCCCACAGCCTGGAGCTGGGGTCTCCATGGCATTGGAAAGAGAAAGGGGGACCAAAGTGTGGGGTTGGGTTTCCCTGCAAGACCAACCAATGTGCCTACTAGTGTCCTTGGGGCTACTAGTACAGGTTCACTGTCGCTGGTATGGGAGAGAGAGGAGAGGTGCTGAGTGAGCTCAGAGTCAGTTTGTGGATTTTTTTTTCACCTTCTTGAGGATTTTAGGTGTCCTAGACTAAGGAGATAGCTGAATTCTTTTTTCTTTGGCATGTCATTTCTGTTTTGGAGAGGTCTGAGAAATTGTGAAGATCAGAAAAAAATGTCTAGTCCTCCACTTTGTTGCTCCCATGACTCTGGTATGATCTTTAATATTATAAGGCTGGGTATCCATTTAGAATGTATGACAGACTACGGTCCAAGGCATTGATCTAAGTCTACTTTCTGCCAGACTGCTTTCAAAGTTTCCCAGTTGCTTTTTTTTTTAAAGGAAATGGAAAGTTATTTCCAAGGTAATGTATGCTTTCCAGTTTATCTAATAGTGGGTTATGGAGTTCCATTGTTTCTGATTCTCCGTTGTCTAGTCTGATCCACAGATCTACCTCTCTGTTTTTAAACCAGTACAAGATGGATTTGATGACTAATATAGGTTGAGGTCTGGAAGTGCTATTCCCCCTTTGAACCTATTCAATCAATTCCTTGATATTCTAGATATTTTGTTTTTTCAAATGAATTGTTATTTCTTAAGTTCTATAAAATATCTCTTTGATAATTCATTTGGTATAACATTAAAAATGTAAATTAACTTTGGTAGATTTTTGTCATTTTTATTATACTGGCATGGCCCAGTTATAAGCACTGACTCTTCCCCCAGTTATTTAGGTTGTTCTATATTTCTTTAAGGAACAACTTCTAAATTGAATCTATACAGTCC